CAATTACAACTATTTAAAACTATTTAAAAAAAAAAATGCCGCGAAATTTTTAATTTTTTTGTAAAAACCTCTGCCAAAAATCCAATTTTAATTTTCTTTCTTTTTCCTTCGTTCAAAACCTAGTTTGAAGTAACTAAAGCCCATATTTTTTTTTTCACTTCAAAAAATTCTGCTAGGAGTTCTGCTGTCCACGCGGACGCATCTTTTTTCCAAGGGCTCGCCGGAAATGACGTCACATTAGCAGAGTTTTTAATATTTTTTTTTTTAATTTCAGTAATCCCTTATTAAACATGTATCTTTAAGACAGTAAAAAGTTTAAATAAAATATTTCATTTTTTCTATTAAAAAAAAAAATTGTTGAAAATAGGCCATTTTTTCCCGAAAGAAACCCATGTAACCCCTTAAGATAATTATCTGGTGAATTATTTTAGAGATAAATTATTGATTTAGATTGTTAAATATTACATTCCATGCTGTATCTATTAACGCTGTTATATATATCCGGTCATGGTAATTTTGTAAATAATATTTAATAATATTTTACACTATTATAAAGAAAAATTTTGCTTTAAAAAATTACTAATTAATTTAATAAATTAATGTAAATTATATTAACGCAAGTTATGATAAAAGTCTATTTAATAAATAACTCATTATATTACGAAGGATCTTAAAGCTTTGATCGTAAAATCTGTAAATTCTGGATTTTGTATTAAGAAATAATGAAATTCACCTCTAGAAGATCAGCGACAGCGTCGGGTAAATTAAATTCACGTACGACGCGTAGTCGAACTTGTCTGCTGATCTCATGTCGACAGGATAACGGTAGAGACATTGCGCGTTGGCAGCTCGGGGATTGACGGAGTTTTTGTTCGCGTTTCAACATCGCTGACATTGTTACTGCATCTGGAACTAATTAATAATAATTTATAGTGTTATTTTATTTAAAAGCACCGGTATTATTTATAGAGGTAGATGTAGAGGTATTTTATGACAAACCAGGTGAATAAATCTAATGCAATAAAATGTAACATCAAAGTAAGAATTTTTAATTATTGAATCCATTTTATCTGCGTAGAATAATTGTAGATAGACACGAATTTTATTTTTAAAATTTATGATGCAAAAATGATATTTATTACAACACTGGTATTCGAATTATCATACAAGATAAATTTACATTTTTGAATTTCGTAAGAATTAATTAAAGCTTCTTGATAAAGTTTATTACGTTTATTAATTTTAATGGATTCTAAGAATTAGATTACTAGCGAAAAAAAAATTTTAACTCAAAGCGAGTAAATGTGTTAAAAATGAAAAAAATTAAATTACATACAAATAAGATAAATATATTTTTTTAATAAAATTTTAAACTAGCTAATTTATGTAAAATAATTATACAATTACACTACTTAAATATAAATATTACTTTTCTTTTTTTTCGCTCTATAAATTTGATTATAATTAATTAATTTAATGTAAAAAATTTATTCTTAAAACATTGAAATTCAATAAAAAAAAAACTTTATACATAAATTTTTAATCAATAGTCATAAAATACTTTTTTTTAAGTATAGTAAAAAAAGTATTCATTAACCAGTGTAACTAACGAGACAGAGAGCATAATTGCTGAGAAAAAAAGGTTGTTTAATTACCAGGAAGAGCTGCGGCTAGTACGTCGACACCGGCAGTACCCATAGATCTTGGCTTCTCATCAACCATGTACAGAGTATCTGGTATATCAGGAATGTATCGTGCCCTTCTTAATCTGACTAACTCAGCTTCTTGGATCATGTGTTCTTCGACTAGACTCTAATAATTAAAAACAATAAAAATGTAGATACAAACAAATAAAAATTCTTACAAATCAATAAATGAATAAATAATACTTTTATTTCCTCATAGTAGGGCATGAATAAACGAGGCCGTATAAATAGTCCGTTTCTCTTGCCACCTCTAATCCACGCATTGATTCGCAAATTTTCACGCTCGTCACCGATCATGTGACTCGGTGGCGTTGACACTAGACCTCTCCTTATAGCCTAGACAGTGAAAGAACCAAGTAAAGTATCTCGAGATAGATAATTGAGAAATTACCTTGTATCTTGTGAACTATTGACATTTTTAAAGATATAAGCTCATTCTGATGTAACAGTCATCAAGACCTTTCATTTGAGTACCCACATGCATTTTTATATATTTTTCATATATACATATATATATATATAACATATATAAATATATGAAAAATTGATGTGGGTACTCAAATGAAAGGTCTTGATAAGTGTAACATCGGGATGAGCTTATACCTTTAAAAATGTCAATAATTCATAAGATACAAGGTCATTTTTTAAATATATATTATATATATGTATATATGAAAAATATATGAAAAATTGATGTGGGTACTCAAATGAAAGGTTTCAATGAGTGTAACATCGGGATGAGCTTATATTTTTAAAAATGTCAATAATTAAAAAATGACCCTGTATCTTATGAACTATTGACATTTTTAAAGATATAAGCTCATCCCGATGTTGTACTCATCGAGACCTTTCATTTGAGTACCCACATCAACTTTTCATATATTTATATATATTATATATATTTATATATGAAAAATATATGAAAATGCATGTGGGTACTCAAATGAAAGCTCTTGATGAGTGTAACATCAGGATGAGCTTATATCTTTAAAAATGTCAATATTAAGGAAAGTACAGTGCAATTTAACGAGTCATTATTTAATGAAGCAAAATTTTAATTATTTATAGTTCACAAGTCACGGCAGTCACACAGTGATTGCAAGTTTGCTAGTTTAATATTATTATGCTTAAAGTTAATAGACAGTAATCTGTGTCTAAGTGATGAAAAGTAATTAACCTGCATAAGAATTTCATTATTGGGCGGCAGTACATGGTCCATTCTAACGAGCGGCAAGAGTTCACTCAGAATTTCACGTAGTTCGATGTCACTGAGATCGCGCTTTTTGACGCCTTTACGTGTAACCGAGTGAACGGTGTGGCTGAGGATGTTCGGTTCTCGGTCCTCCATCCTTCTCACCAGCTCCTGTTCGCCCCATTTGAGCACAGCCTGCAGCACCTCTAGCTCACTTGCCTGGAGAAAATGACTCTGGAGAGACTGAGCCAGGTGAATATGGTCTAGCTGAAATAGAACTGTCGAGGAAGCTATCGATTGGAACTCTTCTCGTAGAAAGTGTAGGGCTTGTCTGTGGACCCAGGCCGAGCCGTGAGGCTGACTTCCCCACCTATAAAATCAATTATCGATTAATTGCTTAATTGAACGTACAAAATTCTATTACAATTAAAAAAGTTATAATTTATCGACGACAATGTTAAAGCGCTGGAGATAGAATTTCAGATTTTATTTTTTAATCGATGCATTTTACATTAGATTTTGAAATATTGCAAGTTTAAAAATCTAAGTATTTTTCCAATCAATTTTATGTCGTGTCCTAAATATGAGCAATCTACTTAATTCTGAAAGCCTTAACCCACAATCGAGATCTTTGAATGTTTTTCGCCTTTTTTTTTTTCAATAATTAATTTTAAAGACATTAATATCTGTATGATTCATCTATATTATTAAGAAAAGGTTTTGACTTGAATTTGTGCCTTTTCAAGGTTTGATATCATTCTCACCGATAGTCAATTTATTATCATAAGTATTTAGGCTGTATTTGAAAATACTCTATCTCTAGCTACATATAATAATTAAGAAATTACCTTGTATCTTGTAAACTACTGAGGTTTTTAAAGATATAAGCTCATCCCGATGTTACACTCATCGAGACCTTTCATTTGAGTACCCACATCAATTTTTCATATATTTATATATATTTCATATATTTATATATGTATATATGAAAAATATATCAAAAATGCATGTGGGTACTCAAATGAAAGCTCTTGACGAGTGTAACATCGGGATGAGCTTATATCTTTAAAAATGTCAATAATTAAGAAATAACCTTGTATCTTGTGACCTATTGACATTTTTAAAGATTTAAGCTCATCCCGATGTTACACTCATCGAGACTTTTCATTTGAGTACCCACATCAATTTTTGATATATTTATATATATTTCATATATTTATATATGTATATATGAAAAATATATCAAAAATACATGTGGGTACTCAAATGAAAGCTCTTGACGAGTGTAACATCGGGATGAGCTTATATCTTTAAAAACGTCAATAGTTAAAAAAGTACAGTGCAATTTACCAAAAGTCATTATTTAATAATGCAAAATTTTATTTATTTATAGTTCACAAGTCATGGAAGTCACATAGTGACTGCAAGGTTGCTATTCTATTTTATATAGAATTAAAAATTCAAATTATTTATATTTACAATTGCAAGTACATAAATCTCAAGTATTCACTTTAAATTTATACGATTAATTACTTTCAAGTTCAAATTACTAGAGATAGATTACAAGACAAGTGTCCTTAGCAATATAAAATAATTTTTTTTTCTAAAAAATTTCAACATCAATCTATGTAATAAAAAACAGTTTATTTACCTGAGGACAGTAGGCAGTGATTCTTGCGTTAAGCACTCTAGAATAAGGTCTTCGCATCCTTGAGACAGAATATCGAGCTCTAGAAACCGTCCAATCTGATAAAGCTCCATAGCTTCTTCAAGCGGACTCGGACGCATCCGGCCAGTGTGTGTCAAAGCTTGAACTTCCCCGAGACTGCCAGTGCTGCTGCCACAGCCGCTGCCTCTCAAAATCAGCGACAGATCGACAGTGTCCAGGTAAACAGCATGCAAAAGCACTCTGGCGTATCTCTTGGGAATGACACTCTCGTCGAGGACAATTCTCGTGGGTATATGAAGCGCCCGCTCGGTATGGTCTTCACAAGACCTTGTCCTTCGGAGAATCAGATTGCGAAAGAATGTCGACCTGGCTGAGAGGATCGCTTTGTGACAGGGCAATTCTAATTTAGGACGAAATCCGTACTCAGAGCTGCCGCTGTCAGGTCGCTGGTAGTCTCCGTCAGACGTGAAGACCAACGCAGCGTCAGCGTAGTCCCCAGTCTCCAGTAAGTAACGCAAGTCGTGATCCAGGTGGTTGGGAGTTCCGAATTCCTCGCCGAGCCGTCTTAACAGGCTGGGGTCCAGTGAGCTGTCGTGTGAACAGATGTCTCCGGTGTACAGGTAACGCAGTAGTGCTGAGAACATGTGAATTTCCAGATTAGGTGTCCTTAACTCCAGACATATCCGCGCTCCGTAGCCAGGACAGCCGGACAGCAGCTCGCGGAAGTAAGGGCACCGCGCTGATAGTAAGGCGCGATGAACTGGAAAACAAGCGCCTCGGTAGACTAGATCCACGTCTGTGCAGTGCTTGTAGTCGTACAGAGTCGACAGATCCTGCTTGAAGGTCGCGGCTGGTGGACGCGCCAATTCTGCTTGCACGTGGAGATCTTTCAGCGCAGCGAGAGCTTCGTACTCCTCCAGCAACGCTGACGCTTCCAAGGGACTCCAGGTTGACACCAACTCTCGTATCACTCGGCCGTGGTCGCAAGCCTTTGAGGAGCGACGTCTCCGGATGAACTTCTTCCGCAGAGTTGCGAAACCAGTTACTTTCTTTTTTCGTTCTCTGTAAACAAAGTTGCGTTGTTATGTATACATTGGGGTTTTTTTGGTTTCCGCGGTTGTAAAATTATACTCCTGAGGTTTTAATTATCTTGTTATTGTTTATTATCTCCATTATTAAGAGAATAAGAACAATTTTGTGTCTGGATAGTCATATAAAATCGGTTTTTTTAGTGAAATTTAGTGTCATTCACCTATAGTCAATTTATTATAAGTATTTAGGCTGCGTTCGAAAATGCTCTATCTCTAGATACATAATTAAGAAATGATTTTGTATCTTGTGAACTATTGACATTTTTAAAGATATAAGCTCATCCCGATGTTCCACGCATCGAGACCTTTCATTTGAGTACCCACATCAATTTTTCATATGTTTATATATATTATATATATGTATATATGAAAAATATATCAAAATGCATGTGGGTACTCAAATGAAAGCTCTCGATGAGTGTATCATCGGGATGAGCTTATATCTTTAAAAATGTCATTAATTAAGAAATGACCTTGTATTTCGTGAACTATTGGCATTTTTAAAGATATAAGCTCATCCTGATGTTACACCCATTAAGACCTTTCGTTTGAGTACCCACATCAATTTTTCATATATTTATATATATTATATAGATGTATATATGAAAAATATATGAAAATTGATGTGGGTACTCAAATGAAAGCTCTTGATGAGTGTGACATCGGGATGAGCTTATATCTTTAAAATATATGGTATATGTATGTATATATGAAAAATATATCAAAATTGCATGTGGGTACTCAAATGAAAGCTCTTGATGAGAGTAACATCGGGATGAGCTTATATCTTTAAAAATTTCAATAGTTAAGAAAATACAGTGCAATTTAACTAAGCAAAATTTCATTTATTTATAGTTCACAAGTCATGGCAGTCACTCAGTGACTGCAAGGTTGCTAGTTGTTTATATTGTAGGTAGGTGTAAATGCTAAGTACCTGATGCCGATGTTGAACTGATCTGGATTTCCAGAAGATGAAAGTCTTGCTGCCTGTATCGGGTCGCCACCAACAGCGGCAAGATTTGAAGAGGCCGATGCTCCCATTCTACGGGTCATACGTTCACCATCATTACCACGTCCTTTTCCCAGTGATGACCAGCAGCCACTTCTGTTATCAACGTCACTTTCTTCCCCTCGCTGCAACGCGCACGGTATTAAAATCCTTAATACGTTCATTGCTCACCCAGACACCAGCCTGGAAATAGTTTTTTTTATTAGCAATCTGGGTAATAATAATAAATATAATTTAATTATTATAAATTCAAGAATTAACAGGTAGAAAGTTTTAAAACTGCTAATAATATAAATTTATTTTTAATTGACAAATGTTGAAATGAATATTTAAATAAATTTTATTATCTGTCTCGAAGTTTTTTAATTATGACAGTAAAAGTTTTTATCTATAAATGGATGAATTAAATATCAATAATTTTATAAGAGAAAATTTTTCAACGATTTGTTCGAATAATAATAATAATAATAATAACAATAATAATAAATAATTATTTACAAAAAAAAAAAAAGACAATTTTATTAATGATTTGAAGAAATTTTTAATTAACATTTAGATAAAAGTAAAGATGAAAGAGTTTATTTGAATCTAAATAAAAATATTTGTTTTGATAACCGTGACCTAGTTGCGAATAAAAATAAAATAGTTACCAAAAAATAATCATTAGAGTAATTAAAAGTTAAAAATATAACAAAACATATTGTGTTACTATAGATCTACTCTAACAATTATCAATAGTATATGTATATGTCAATTACCTGGGTCTCGATGGTGCATATTTTATTGCAATAAATGTCATTTATAAATTAAGTCGCTCTGCTTAACGTAATACCATAAAAAAACATTTATCACATAACACACGAGCGGCCATGTTTATATTCCAAATAAAAAACTAATAATCATGGCCTGGATAATTATTGTAAAAAAAAAATCCGCCTTAGTAATTAAATATATTTAGTAATTAGTGAATAAACACAAAGAATATTAATTATACTTGATAATGTTTTTGAGTAACAACAACTACGTCACTTGACACACATTTTTTTCGATAGTTTCACCAAAAAAAAATAAGTATCGTTGTTTTTGCACATTTTTAAGTTGAAGCGCACTCGTATGATTTATTTTAACAACACACATTGATGTTTTTATCATCCTCTCTAGATTGTGTTGATTTCGAATGGAAAAAGAGCACTGGACGATTTATAAATAACATTACGGATGTAATTATTATTTTTCGATAACGATGACAGTTGAATGAGAATGCTTTACATCATTCGGTTATGATTATACCTCTGTTATCTTTTTATATCTCCACTATTCTGTTTCTGTCCAGTTGTCTCTTGTCTCTGTCTCTGGCCTGCTGGGCAACGTAACAGTACAGATGTCTGAAAGCTCTGAAGAGAGCGCGAAGCGCTACATTATTTTAATAATTGTTACCAATCTTCGTACACCAGTGTAATGGTGTGTAATTTTAAAACTCTCTTTTATTTTTATTCTTCAGGGTGGCTGCCTGGAGAGAACTAGCATCAGCGCCAAAGCTTACAAATTTCACCGTTGATAATTAAATTTCGCGCGCAAATTCTGGCCAATGAGAGCGCGGACGTTCCCGCGTAAAACTACTGCGCATATAACTGCGATGGCAGTTGGGTAGTCGAATTCGCAAGCTTTCGGTGAACTAAAAATTGACCGGTTGATTTTTGTTTCTTTTTTGGGGTTTTTATGGTCTTATTTATCAATTTAATTATCAACTTTTAATTGTTTTACGATATTCGATCGTTAGAAATAAAAATTTTGATTAATTTCGGTAAATTTATTGTTTATAATGTCGGACAGCCATTTACTGAGTAATCAAGTCGGACAAAATGACATTTATACTTTTTTTTGGTGTTTTTTGAGTAATCAGTCAAACTTTTTGTTAGTTTGTTAATTATTTTTGAGTTTTGAAGTTTAATTGTGTAAATTTACTTAATTAGTTATTTATTTAGTGGTGATAAATTATGACAATAAAACCAGCAGATTATAATATTGGAATTAACTGAGACATCTGACAATTTTTTGATTTTAAAAAATTAGAAATCCAATATGAAAATTAATTTAGCAGATATTTTATAATTTTACGAATTTTTTTATGACAAATGAATTATGTCAAAGAAAATATTATAAATAAATTGACATTTAGAAAATTAAAAAAAATGCAATTTTTTAGAAATAATTTTTTGAAGCATTTATTTATTAAAAAAAATTAAAAATTGACCAAGCGACTGTTAACTTTAATGTCATAAATCCAATCAGCTGATTTCAGTATTATGTCATGATAATTTTAAAGTGACAAAATTAATTCCTGCATTTTTTATTGTCATAATTAATTTCAGTAATAATTTTGTTATTTACGTGTGTCATGTTAAAGTGTATAAGTTATTTTGTGTGGGTGTCAAGTGTTTGAAAAGTGATTCAAATAGTTTAGTGCAGTGATTAAAAGTTTGTGTTAATTTTTATTCTAAATAAGGACCATCAAAGGATTTTGCTGGACAATATTTGTTGCTGGAGGTCAAAAAGAAGGTTCTACTGGGTAAGTTATATTTTTAAAGATAATAAACATTTATTACTTTTAATAATTTGAAGTTTCTTATTAAAATTAAATTAAATAATGACTAGAATTTTAAATACCAACTGAGTTATTCAAAACTAAGCGGGAGATACTCTTCGCGCCTGTGCATTGACCCAGACTATTTTTAGTCAAATAATTACAAAATTTCCAAGTAAAAACTAAAATTCGCCTTAAATAATCCATCAACTCCAGTATAAATAATAAAAAGAAACATTCCGCGAATTTACAAAATAAATTTACGTCAATTGCGTAATTTATTGCGTCACCCCAGATGTTCGTTTGATTCACATCTCAGCATGTGGGCTTTTCCGATACTTCCATAGTTGCATCAGTTGCACTTGGTTGCGTGAAAATAAATTAGTGGTCTAAAATTACAAAATAAATTATCAAAATGTTCTCTCTGGTGAATGGGTTGAGATGTGGTCAGCAAGTAATTCGCAGTACTGGACAAGTTAGAAATGTCAGCTGTGGAATGCCAAGAAACAGAATTTCTTTTGTGGTAAGTTTTTCTTTTTTCTTATTTTAAATTTTAGGTCTTATATAATTTCATCTTTCGTTAAATTTTTCTTCATTAGTTTTTTTTCATTTATTAAAATGATTATCATTTTCATCAAATTGTCTTTTTCACCCTGAAAAATAAAAATAAAATCATTAGTTATTTTTTTTTTTAATTTATTTTTCCTTAAGAAAAATAACTAATTTTCCAAATTCTAAATCTAAATCTCTAAACAATTAAACAATTTTTTTATTACTATACATTTGCTTAGATACTAACCAGTATTGATTTCAAATGACGTTGATACAAATGTACATTCAACTCCATCTATAAACATAAAAAAATTTACATTAATTACACACTTGTTAAAAAATTGCATGATTAAAATTTATAAATTATCTTTAAAATTATTTCTAAGTATTTAACATGAAATTAATTTTTTTTTTTTTATTATAGGAACGAGTTGGGCATGGAGTAGTCATGGCTTGCGGACTAATAGCCACTCCAGCTTACATAGCAACAAACATCAAAAATTACCGTGGAAAGGAAGAATAAGTTATACTATTTTTATTATCTATAGATAAATAATTATGTAAAAACACACTAAATATTAGTCAAAAATTCTCAAAATTAAATTAGATAATAAATTAATTTATTCAGTAATTTTTATCTTGATATTTTTTTAACAAAATATTAATTAATTTGTGACACTGGAAATTTTTTAGAAAAAAAATTTAATTTCAAGACAGAATTATCTGAAAAATTATTTACATCACAAATTGAATATTTTTTTTAATTAAAGCAACTTGTTGACAGCTGAGTGCTCACAATAATTTTTTTTCACTTCAATAAATTTCAAAAGTGCTTCAAATTAATTAACTTTAGTCTTCACTAATAATAATTAATAAAAATAATAATATAATTAATAATTAGTAATAAGCTTTACAATTAAAAATTTACCTTTGTTATTTATTATTCGCTGACATGTCAGCTCCATTTTCACTTTCTTAATTATTGTCAAGTATTTCGGTAAAGCGACAGCAGTGGCGCTTATGATCGTTTTTCTCCAGCTTCAACGACAGGTTTATTATACACAGACACTTGCATTAGTGTGTGAAAAATTTAATACACAATCACAATCAGTCCAAAAATTTATTGGAGCAATTTTTTGAATAAAAAATCAAGATGATTACTGCTGGATCAAAAATTTTGAGTCGCACTGCGATGGTGAACCGTCAATTTGTCAGACACATTGACTCTGTCAAGTGTGGAATGCCCCGTAACAGAATTTCTTTTGTTGTAAGTATTTATTTGAGGTTAAGTACTGATATTTTACTTTATTATTTATTAATTTCATATTTTGAATAGTTAAATTAGTTTAATTTTTGTTGATATAAAATTGTTGAATTTTTTTCACTTCACCTTTTCAGAGCTTACATACTAACTCAATTATTTAATTATTATCATTGATTACAAAAGCTCTTACGTAATTTTTCACCATAATTTTTTTATAAAAATAATACATTTTTTAAATTATTTATTTTAAAATTAATTTTATTAAAAATAAATGTTAATTTTTTATTGAAAAAAATTTTTTTTTAGTCTTTGGAGTGTTAAAAATTTAATTTTAAAAATAAATTATAAATTTTTTTGTGTACTTGGCAATTCAAATTTAATATAAAAAATTAATGCATAAATTTACAGAACATTAATATTGTTGATAAATATTAAAAAAAATAAATAAATCATCAGCAATAAATAAATTTATATTATTATTACACTAGACAAATGTACTAATTTTTACTGAAATAAATTACAGGAACGAGTAATCCATGGTGTTATCATCAGCTCAGGAATCATAGCTATTCCCGTTTACATCGCGACCAATTTAAAACACTACCGTGGAAATGAAGAGTAAAATACAAGCTTACATCTACCATTCCAATAAATATTACTATTGTATTCAATAAAATATAAAAAAAGGTAGTGTAATGAGTTAAATTATAATTATTATACTTTACCACAGTGTACCAAAATAAAATTATTTAAAGTTAAATTTA